CCCAGGCTGTGTGCAGATGTAACTGGCTCCAGGCTGCAGGTCACTAGCCTCTCCCATACCCACCCCCCATACCCTCTAGGGTGAGGAGGTCAATGCCCAGCTCCCTCTCTTCGCCTCCTCCTCACCACCTCTTTAAATCTATCCCAAGGTCCAGCACACGTTGATCTGTGTCCTGCCCTTGGCGAGTGCAAAGGCTGCCCATGGGGCTTTGTGTGTGGTGTGTGCACGCTCAGCCCCTCAGTCATGCCTGACTCTTTGCAACCCCATGGACTGTAGACCTCCAGGCTCCTCTGTCCATGGAATTTTTCAGGCAAAAATATTGGAGTGCTTTGCCATTTCCTGCTCCAGGGGATCTTCCCCATCCAGGGATCAAACCCTCTTCTGTCTCCTGCATTGGCAGGCAGATTCTTTACCACTTTGACACCTGGGAAGCCCCCACTTCAAAAGAGTGCTTAAAGTGCATTTCCATCCATTGTTGCCCATGTGTCTTGGGTGGGGACTGGGAGAACATTGGCCAGCCATCTCTTACTCCATCCTTACTCTGAAGGTCTTTTAACCCCAGAGGGAAGGTCCTAGTTTCACTGAGGCTGTTGTGGACTAGTAATGATGAAGCTGATGGGATGTCCATCGACTCATTCAATCCTCACGCTGTGATGCAGACCCACGGGGCAACAGGTGTAGCCCTTGCGCAGATCTTCCCTTGGAACAAACACTCAAAAAGCAGTCAGTAGAGCGCAAATGAATAGTTCTCTTCACTTCTCCCTCTGTTTACCCATTTTATTGGATTGGTTTATTGGATTTTCACCTTCTTGGTTTTCATCTTGGCCAAGAAGCCAAAGGCTGGCTGAGTTTACATCAGCTTTGAATTGGGTTCTTGCTCTTTGGGAGATGCCGAGAGGTCAGAACTCATCCACATCCTGTAATGTTAGTCATATGAACTATTAACCCAGAGGTGAAAGGTTGGACTTGTTTTGCCCTCCCGGGGAGCCATCCGCCACCTCTAACATTTGGAGGAGAACACTTGAATTCTCTGCAACTGCTCCTTTCCCTCCGGGCAGCTTGGAAACCTACTCGGTATAGGGTGGTGGTGTGCTGGTAAACCGCCTCTCCCTTCCGCAAAGAAAATTCCTGATGTATAGCGTTTGCCAATGTTTGTGGTGTAAACACCCTCACCCTGGTCAGTTTCAAGCTACCGCTAGCAATGTTTCTGAATATTTAACAGTCGCACTCATGAGCTGCCACCAGCCAGCCTCCTGCCTGGAGAACCCTTCTAGGATATTCACTAAGTGCAGACAGACAGCACGCTCTCCCTCCAGGGTGAGAGATGACAATTCTCTTCCCATGTGCCCTAGACACAAACCAGTTTGCAATGGGGTGCAATTAAAACTTGATTAAGGTCCAGTAGGGTTGCCAGACTTAGCAAGTAAAAATACAGGATTCCTAACTAATTTAGAATTTCAGATAAATAACTGTTTTGTATAAGTGTATCCCAAATATTGGAGAAGTCAATGGCACCCCACTCCAGTACTCTTGCCTGGAAAATCCCATGGACGGAGGGGCCTGGTAGGCTGCGGGCCATGGGATCGCTAGGAGTCGGACACGACTGAGCGACTTCACTTTCCCTTTTCATTTTCATGCATTGGAGAAAGAAATGGCAACCCACTCCAGTGTTCTTGTCTGGAGAACCCCAGGGACGGAGGAGCCTGGTGGGCTGCCGTCTATGGGGTTGCACAGAGTCGGGCACGACTGGAGCGACTTAGCAGCAGCAACAGCAGCATCCCAAATATTGATTGGGCCCTAGTTATACTAAAATGGTGTTTTGCCGTTTATCTGAAATTCAGGTTTGACTGGGCAGGGTGGGATGGAGCAGCCTTGCAGGCTTGTGCTTTCACGGCCAACCCTAGCTCCTCAGACACACAGAGGTGGGCAGAAAATTCTCGTGGGCTGATGCTGGTATCTGGAGTGTGGGCAGGAGACTGGGGGCTGGAGATGTACAAGACTCTTTCTTTTTTTTTTTTCTTTATTAAAGATTTAAGGTTATTTTACTTTGAAAAAAAATCTACAGAAGTTTTATAATCATAACTTTGTTACTTTTTAAAACAAAACTTGTCTGAAATAATTAGATACAGCCAAATTATGTGGTTATGTTTTGCTGTTAGAATTTTAAAATGTAGTATGTGTGGCAATCTACTGTTTGAAATTTATAATGGTCTCAGATATGTTTGAGTTTTGGTAACTTTTAAAACTATTTATTTTTTTGTTTTAAGTCACAAAGGCACCTATGGATTTATAATTGGGGTTTTTTTGAGTGCTAATTTTTCTATGAAGCAGCCGAAGTTGACCAGTCTTTTCCTAGGTAGAAAACTCAAAACTTGTTAACTCTGTACTTTAATAAAATTAAAAATTGAAAACTATGGGGGTTTTTTTTCTTCTTCTTTCTGTTGAATATATTTATAAATGAAGTCTGCCACGTACCATCTTCCAAAGATGTCTTCAAATGTTAATTCAACCTCTCTCAAGTTTCACAGAGTCGGTTCTGCTTCTAGAAGATACAAACAGGAAAACCCAAGTTTTTTGCCTTCTTCCTTGCTGAAAGCCTCTACAGCCTGCTTTCTTTCTTTCTTTCTTTTTTTAACTTACTTTGCTCTGAAGGGTCTTCACTGCAGCGCTCAGAATCTTTAGTCATGGCATGCAACTCTTAGTTGCTGAACCAAGGATCAAAGCTGGGCCTCCTGCATTGGAGTATGCTATGTGAAAATCTCTTTCTTCTTTAACCTAGAAAAGTCACAGTTATATATCCTGCTGCAGATTTCCCTCCCTGGAGGGACTCCGGAAGCTACAAGGTACCCAAAGGCATTTAGTGCAGCATCTTCAGTTTACATGTGAGGAAACTGAGGTCTAGAGAGTTCAAGATCACTTAGCTAGTAGCAGCACCGATGCTAGAATTCCTGATTCCAAACTCAGTGGGACGGTTTTTCCTTCTATCCTGCACATTTTATCCTACACTCATCTGAGAGTTAGTTTGTCTTAATGGTCAAGAGCAGACTCTCCTGGATTCAGATTTGGGCTCTGACCATTACTAGTTTTGTGACCTTGGACCTCATCCCTTTGGGTTCTGTCTTCTCATCTTTAACGTGGGGATTAAATGTATGAGTGAGTCTAGAACAGTGCCTGGCATGCAGTGACCATCAGTAAACACGTCCATCCTGCAAACAGCCCCCTAGAAAAAGCCTCTCTCTTGTTCCTCTTCCTGTAGCCCCTCACATCGCACCCACAGGCCAGGGTTCTGGTTGGGCTACATCTCCCCATAGCCTGCCTCACCCCCCACCTGGTAGTCAGCCCCCAGTCTGTCCACTAGGGATTATCATCACCTGCAAGGTAGGAGTCAGCCTCCATGCCCCCACCTCGACAGAGCAAGACTCAAAGGCTTCACTGCATTTAAAAACTTAGCACAGGAGAACACGCTGTGTGTGCGGTTGTTTTTGCTTTTTTGCTGTTGTTCTTTTTGACCACTCTGCATCTTTGTTGCAGCGCGGGCTTCTCTCACTGTGGTGTACAGGCTTCTGCAGCGGAGCGCTGGCTCAGTAGTTGTGGTGGGAGGACCTAGTTGCTCCAAGGCACGTGGAATCTTAGTTCCCCAACCAGGGATTGAACCCACATCCCGTGCACTGGAATGTGGATTCTTAACCACTGGACCACCTGCGAAGTCCCAGAAGAATCTGTTAACAGCCCCAGTGACCACATCCTTATATTAAACCATTACCACACGTGGCTGGATCCAGACTGGGGAGCCCAGGGAGGGCCCCCACGGAGCCTTGAGCTCTCTTTCTGCTCTGGGAAAGGTAGTAGGGATGGGTGGGGACAAGAGGAGCCCGGGTGGCAGACCTTGGAAGTAGCAAGGAGAGTCAGACTGCTCAGGTTTAAATTTATGCTTCCCCATCTATTAGCTGTGGCCCCAATATCTATGGACCCCAATATCTCTGGGCCCCACTTTCGTTACAATGGACGCGATAATATTTCTACTGCAAAAGGCTGGTGTACACCATCATGTAACACTAAATTCAGGTGCTGCCACTGACAGCAGTGGGACCCTGGGGCAAGTTCATCTCCGTGGGCCTCAGTGTCTCCATCTGTCAAATGGGGGCATCCCTGTCTCATTGGAGGATTAAATGGGACACTCTTTGAAAAGATCTTGGCACTAAGGGGGCACCCGGTAAACCCTCGAGATGGAGGAGCACCCTTGTCATTTCATGTCGCTTGCTTGGTCAACTTCTGTCAACATTTACTTCCCCCTGGTAACCAGCGCGGGAAATGAGATGCAAACCCAACTAACTGCAGCAGCAGAAATGAGCTTAGAAATCAAGCTTTTGTTTGTTTCCGTCTAACACACCCTCATCACTGAGCACTTGAGCCCCACGAGCCCACCTCTTTTTGTCTCAGAGTTAGAGATGGTCTTGTTTGGGATGAAGGTGGTTTTTGTTTCACTTTGCTTTATAAACAGAAACACTCCCTGGTTTCTCCTCTGAAAGGCTGGGAAGGAAGCTGAGTCAGGTGGGGTGTGGTGAACGTGAAATCGGTCACCCTTCCCTCGCCCCGGATTTGGCGGACCCAAGTCAGCCCACGCTGACCTGTACAGCCGCCGATGCACATGGGATCCGTTTTTCTGCTCGTGCATCTATTGGCATGAAGAAACCGCAGCATCCTTCTAGAATGCAGTACAGAATAGTGGAAAGAACAAGGGCTGTGGTGGGGTGGGGGGGGACAGGGGGGCGGGGAGGTGATCCCAGACCTGAGCTGGAATCCCAGCCCTAGCACTTGTGAACTGCGATGGTGACTGGGTAGGTCAGGAATTGGTGGAGCTGGGCTGTTGTCTGGGAGGTGGCATCTCTGCCTGTCCCGGAAGATTCCAGTGAAGCTTAGGGTTAATGGATGTAACACTCGCAGAAAAGCACCGTGGAATGGAAAGTCTTGCGATGACATCATGCTCTCTTCCCTTTCAGGATGATATCCCAGGCCCGGGGTTCTACAACGTCATTCACCAGTCCCCTGTGTTCGACAGCGTGTCGTTGTCCAAGAAAGGGACATGCACTTTCCCTTCTGTGATGAGAACCCCTTCTCTGAATAAGGGTACTAACGGCTCAGTACTTTGCTTCCTTCATGGCTTAATCACATATTGGACATCCAGGCCCTTCTCTCCAAACACCTGTGGTTCTGATTAGGAGAGCAATGATTTGCCCAGGTTTCATGCAGGTAAACTGGAGCCTAGATCTTTAAGTAATTTTCCACTCCCAGAGTGGAAAGAGAAGCTAGAAGCATATTCAGAACCTGATCATCCAAAACCAATTTTGTCAGCATGGAATGGACTCTCAAACCAAGACAAAATTCTTATTATACATCTTGCCCCAGTAGGATTCTTTTTACACTTCTTAGTCTAACTGGGTTATTCAAGTTATTGAGAAATCTGATGGGACCGCAAAGAAAGCATACAGCAGGCAGGGAATTTAGGAATATTCCTCTCCTCTCCATTTCTCTTCTCTGTAAGATGTGGGTCTTTATCTTTGTGGATGACTCCAAACCTCAAGTAGCTAAATGAAGTGCCAGTGTCTCTGACCAGACCTGGGCAAAGATAGTCTTTATTTGAACATCTATCTGTTGACAAGATAAAATAGATAAAACAAGGGGAGTCAAAGTAGAGTAAGACTCGCTGAGGTAGGAAAGGGAAAAAGAAAGCAAATCCAAACTCCAGCATCAATAAGATGCCTACGCCATCCGTCCCTTTAAAAGTTAGAATAATCTCCTGCAAAAATGTATTATGATACCTGACACTGGAATTGATTTAAAACACACACACACATACACAAAGAGACCATTTAAATCACACTGAATGCAGCCACTCATTGGAATTCGAGCTTGACCGAGCTGAATACTCAAGGAGCAAACCGATTTGGGAGTTAACTCCTCACTAGCTAAGGTGTTCAGGCTGCACAAGCCCCTGCCAGTTCACAAAACAGCCACATGTCTACCTCTTCGCCCCCAGCCCTGTGAGTAAAGAGACTACAAAGCAATGGGCCAAAGAAATGCCGTCTCACAATGGCCTGGCACTAGAGACAAGACTTAAGACCCGATCCTAAAAAAAAAAAAAAGACCCGATCCTGACTCAGCTGTGGGTTCAACCTCAATGTGACCTCAGGCACGTCACCCTTTGTGCCCCAGTTGCCTCACAGAGTGAAGACTCCCCAGAGGCCCTGGGCAAATTGACGTTGCAGTGAGTGAAATAGTCTTTGAAACTGCGGAGCCTTATAAACACGTTCAATGTTATGATTGTTGCCATCTGAGTCACAAACAATACTTCCTGCAACACCTAGGTTTTCTCTCTGAGAGTTTTGCCAAATAGTGGCACTGCCCACTCCTCCCTGGTGCCAGAGCAGGTGCTGAATCAGAGCACGCCATCAATTCCCTGCTAGGCTGTACATGCGGTAACTTTCCAAATGACCAGGCTGGGCCGTCTGGAGGAGAAGGGGCCCAAGGGCAGATCTGTGAGTGACAGGATCTAATCAGGTCTTTACAAAATTCAGACCAAACCCCAAAGAAGACAGACGCTGAGTTGTTCAGGCTTCTTCCTGCTGTGATGGATATAAGGGTTTATATTTATGTTTCTAAACACATGAGTTCGTATATCCTCGGGCGGGGGCCTTAAGTGGAGAACTATCAGGAGCTTCCCACATTTCGCCTAGTTCCTTCCAGAACTGGTCACCAATTTCATTCCTCCACCCCTTCTTTTGCTGATGTTCACATTTAGCGGCTCTTGTTTCCAGATCCTAGACCCTACAGGGGTTAAAAAGTAGTCCCCATCAGAGAGGGCTTCCCTGGTAGCTCAGCAGTAAAGAATCCACCTGCAATGCAAGAGATGCAGGTTTGATCCCTGGATCGGGAAGATCCCCTGAAGGAGGAAATGGCAACCCACTCTAGTATTCTTGCCTGGGAAATCCTGTGGACAGAGGAGCCTGGCGGGCTACAGTCCATGCGGTCACAAAAGGGTTGGACACAACTTAGTGACTAAAAACAACAACCCCCACATCAGAGAAAGATCTGCCTTACTGATGCTGGTGTGGCCATCAGAAGCGTGACTCCCAGTGGCGCCGACCAAAAAGTGCTGTGGGTCAATACATGTTAGAAACTTCTGGATGACTGTTGGAGCAACTGCACCCCGCCTTCTGAGAGGACCTGTCGTCCCTCTAAATTCAAATCATCTGAAGAGCTTCATGACTATACTCCACAGCTTTGTTCCAGAATTATTCACAGGACTGGGTAGGAAGTCAAATGAGGCAGGTGTGAGTGTCGGAGGGGGGAGAGGGGCGGGTATTTCCATGGCTTTTCTGTATATGTGCGGTGGCTTCAGTGGCTCCGGAAGAGCTGTTATGTGCTGGAGAGAGGTTCATGATTGCCAGTATGTGGCCAGGTTGGGGATCGGAGGCCTGGCAATTAAAAGAAAGCCAAGGCTTAGGCTGATGAGTGAGTGTCATTTCAGCTAGACTCAGACTAATTCTATTGTGATGATTGATGAAACTTTGCCTCAGATGGGAATTTTTTGGAGCAGTTTTTCCTAAAGAGAATGTTAGTAGGTATTCTAAGCCAAAAAGATCCTATGATGAAAGAAGTTTGGGAATGACTGTTTCAAAACAGTTAGACAGATTTCTTTACTGTGGGCCTTCTCAGTGCATGCACTACCCCAATGTGTGTTATGAATCTTCAAAATGGTGTGAGGCTTCTCAAGTTTATTTGACCCTGGAACTGTCTCCCTACTGCTACCACCACCAATGAAACCTTATCTCATAGAACTGGAAGGCCAAGGAACACACTTTGGAAAATAGTGCTTTGTTTATTTTTTTTTCAGGGGTCCTACAACATATAATATTTTAAAAGTTAGATAAATTTAATAATTTCACAATTAAAATGGATTTCGAAATTTCCCCAGTAGTAAACCACTTACCAAAAAAAAAAAAAAAAAAAGAAAACCCCAAAACAAACTTATCTTCAATTGTGAGGGTGATAAATATATTTGAAAAGATAATTTACCGCAAGAATCTGTTTTGTCCCCATCAAAAAAAGTACCTGAACTTTAAACAAAACTCACATTTTATTTAAGTTGAAATAAACTATACAAAATTTGACTTTCTTAACCAAAAACAGCAGCAATATTTTCTATATTATTCCTAGATAAGCTGCAAAACACTTATTTTTGTAGGTTTGCTAGATTTTGCTTGTAAATCAAGATGAGGCAATAGATACAGTCATGGAAAAAGACAAAAGGAAACAGACAAATCAGTTGTCATTATCTATGGGCTCTGATCCCCTCCTGACCATGAAACTGAAGTGTTCAATATATAGGCTGCCAAAAAGCTTATGAAGATGTAGGAATGTAAACAGCAACAACCAAATGGGGAACAACAGTGGCAGGCTCTTCCATTCAAACTTTAACTACAGTGTATTGCTTTAACTTCAGGGACATAGCACTTTAGCAAAACACGCTTTGCCCACTCTTTTGGGCGACTTCGGAGAGACACACGACAAGCAGCAGCACTGAGGATGGTCTGACCTTGCCACCCTTCTTCCCTGGGAGTTAGAAGGAGAGCAGAGGTGTGTCTGTAACGAGGAGCACAGGTGGCTTCAGATAGTGATTCTTCCTGAGCTAAAACCTCCCACAGGCATTTATCAGCAGCTCATCTTGTGGATGAGAACATGTGGCTGTGACTCGTCTCAGCCCATTCTTCCTCGGAATGGGTGTCTGATTCGTATCATCTCGTGGCGGTGAGAATGTTGGTTCCACCACTTTGCTGGCTGAGGAAGTTTGGGGTCCTCATCTGTAACGCTGGGATAATCATAATTTCCTTGATCCAGGCTTGTCCTACCGATTCAATGGAACATCCCCTGCAAAGTACTCAGTTAACTATTGCCCCAAGTGCACAGGTAAAGTGAATCCAAGGCTGGGGTGTTCTGGGAACATCGATGGTTCCTTGCAGTTAGGAGGAGGCAGAGCTGGGACCCGAGCCCAGGCTAGACTCTGGACAGAACGCCCCTGCTTCTGGTGGCAAGTGGTGGTCCATGACCCAGATGGTGGGAAGCACGGCCGTCATGTACAGAGAGGAGACAGGTGGGCTGCTCATGCCTTCCCGCGGCCTCCTCCACTTTCTGTGCTGGTGTGGTTATTGACCCCTGTTAAGGGGGAAAACCCAGGGAAATTTTCACGAGCTTTTAACCGTAAAATAATGGGAGAAAAAAAAATTTTTTTTTTAATCAGACTTCAATACTTGCCATACTATCCCAGGGTAAGGTGATGTTATCACCTAGTTTTTATGGCTTTTGTCCCTTTTCATTTGGCAAACATTGATTCTATTTGTTTTTTTTAACTGAAAATAGTTATTCATGGCTTCCTGGAAGGAATAGGATTGGTTTCTGTTGAAACAGCAAAAAAAAAAAAAAAAAAGAAAATTGTAAGGTTTTATGAAATCAGTGAGTTGGTGGGGGATGGGAGGTGTGGGTGGGAGGCAAACCCTGGGACCTTTAAGGCTTGAGAAGCAAACTTCTTATTTAGGAAATTCAGATTATTTGACCTTAGAGACAAGAAGTGAGAGTTTCACTCAAAGGAAAAACCAAGGTTGGAAGAAGAAAGCAGAAAGCTTCCCATCATATAAATCACCCACCAGCTGATGAGTCAAGTGTAAGTGGCCTGAAACGGGATTGGGTGGAAATGCTTTTATGGCAAAACTACTTTTGCCAAGTCCCAAATACAAGATGAATAATTCGAGTTAGTTTACAGAAGTTAACACAGGTCTGAACTTGCATTTTCCAAGAACAAATCCTCAAAGCCCAAGGTCATTTTATCTGTGTTACCTGCCAGGGTTTCACCTTTTATGAAATGCTTTTAGACCTGGTGCTGAGCAGCATCTTTTTTATACCTGTCCTTGGAATCAACAAGATACATGATGATGTAGATTCCTTTGACTTTCTCCTTGCAGTGTGCTCGACTGGACACCATCGTTTCTAAATACCCGGCAGCTAATGCGTACACTATCCCATCTCATCTTGTTTCAAAGAAAGACTTCAGCAATTCCTGTTCCAGCATGTTCCAGTTGCCAAGCTATGAGAAAGTACTCAAATTTGAAACCCCTGCACCAAACCAGTACAATGTAAGAACACTTTCTATACCTCTTATGTATTGAGTGAATGGTTTACTAAAAATAAAAGAAGGGACGTGGGGAGCTTTGGAAAATAGCATTTAAACCAATTGGTAAATTAGTTAGCATTTGTTGACTACACAATGGCTACATGAGGCTGTGCAAGGCTCTCATAGGGAATTTTCTGAACCCAGAGAAAGGTGTGGGCAACACGGAGGTCAGCGTGGAGCAGTGGGAAAACCTCTGCCCTGGAAAACTCTTATTGCAGTCGCCCCTATCACAGACATGAAATTAAAAGATGCTTGTTCCTTGGAACGTAACATAATATGATAAACTTAGACAGTGTATTAAAAAACAGAGACTTCACTTTATCAACAAAGGTCCGTATAGTCAAAGCTGTGGTTTTTCCAGTAGTCATGTGTAGATGTGAGAGCTGGACCATAGGCAGGCTGAGCACCAAAGAATTGATGCTTTCCAATTGTGGTGCTGGAAAAGACTCTTGAGAGTCCCTTCAACAGCAAGGAGATCAAACCAGTCAATCCTAAAGGAAATCAACCCTGAATATTCGTTGGACGGACTGTTGCTGAAGCTGAAGCTCCAGCTTTGGCCACCTGATGCAAAGAGCCGACTCATTAGAAAAGACTCTGATGCTGGGAAAGATTGAAGGCAAAAGGAGAAGGGGGTTGCAGAACATAAGATGGTTAGACAGCATCACTGACTCAGTGGACATGAATCTGAGCAAACTCCAAGAGATAGTGAGGGACAGGGAAGCCTGGCGTGCTGCAGTCCATGGGGTCAGACACAACTTCGCAACCAAACCACCACCACCACCACCTATCACATAACTTTCTAGGATGGTTTTCTCATCTATAACAATGATTGTATTATTCACTTACTGTTTAGATTGTTACAGGGAAAATAAAAAACTTCTATCTTTCCATATCAGAAAATTGCTTTCTTTAACAGTAGTACGTCTCCAGGGTTTCCTTGATATCTCAGTTGGTAAAGAATCAGCCTGCAATGCAGGAAACCCCAGTTCCATTCCTAGGTTGGGAAAATCTGCTAGAGAAGGGATAGGCTACTTACTCCAATATTCTTGGGTTTGTCTTGTGGCTCAGCTGGTAAAGAATCCACCTATAGTGCAGGAGACCTGGGTTCGATCCTTGGGTTGGGAAGATCCCCTGGAGAAGGGAAAGGCTACCCACTCCAGTATTCTGGCCTGAAGAATTCCATGGACTGTACAGTCCATGAGGTCGCAAAGAGCTGGACACGACCGAGTGACTTTCACTTTCAGTGCTTCTCTAGTTCCCATCACTTTGTAATCACTTAGGCAGAACAGTGTGCTTAATGGGTAAGAGATGGGCTTGTGTTCAAATCTTGACTCTGCCATTTTCTACGTGTGTGTGGCTTTGGGCAAGTCCATTAACCTTTCAGGACTCAGTTTATTGATATGTAAAGTGGGGTTATGGGGCTATGCCCTCCCATGTGGTACTAGTGGTAAAGAACCCGCTTGCCAATGAAGGAGATGTAAGAGACATGGGTTCCATCCCAGGGTCAGGACGATCCCCTGGAGGAGGGCATGGCAACCTGCTCCAGTATTCTTACCTGGAGAATCCCTTGGACAGTGGAGCCTGGTGGGCTACAGTCCATAGAGTCAAAAAGAGTCAGACACAATTGAAGAGACTTAGTTTGCAAGCACACAAAATGGGATTTTATGTCTACTCCATGGTGCTAATGCAAACATTAAACGAGGCTGTCTTGGCCTAGTGCTTTCTTAGCACAGCCCCTGGTACATGAGAGTTCCACAATAAATGGAAATCAGTAGAACTGTCTTTGGGGAAGTCAAGATACCTCTCAGGTTTCAGTTGTAAAATGGAATTAATTATACTTGCCCAATAGGGTTATTATAAGAAGCAGATGAGAGTATAGTGTGAGAGCACTCTGAAATAACTAAGACATGAATTGCACATAAGGCAGTAATACTATTATGCTATAATTTCTGAATATTTTGGCCTTAGAATGCTTCAGTTTAAATTTCCTTTTTCTTTTATAATACTTATAGATAATAGTTATTTTTCCAACTACAAAGATCCTGCCCACCTTCTTCGATGGATCCAATCAATTATAATGTGCTCAAAGCAATGTAAGTGCCTGTTAGACCAGCACTGTCCAGAAGAAATACAACTGGGGTTGCAAAAGTAATTTGTTTTCCTAGTTGTTGTGGTTGCTCAGCTGCTGAGTCGTGTCTGACTTTTTGCAACTCCATGGGCTGCAGCACGCCAGGCTCCTCTGTCCTCCATCATTTCCCAGAGTTTGCTTAAATTCGCGTCCGTGGAGTCAGTGATGCTATCTGAACATCTCATCCTCTGCCGCCCTCATTCTCCCTCTGCCTTCAATCTTTCCCAGCATCTGGGTTTTTTCCAGTGAGTCGGCTCTTCACATCACGTGACCAAAGTTTGGAGTTTCAGCTTCAGCATCAGTCCTTCCAATGAATATTCAGGGTTGATTTCCTTGAAGATTGGTTGGTTTGATCTCCTTGCAGTCCAAGGGACACCCAAGAATCTTCTCCAGCACCACAATCAGAAAGCATCAATTCTTCAGTGCTCAGCCTTGTTTATGGTCCAATTCTCATGTCCGTACATGACTACTGGAAAAACCATAGCTTCGGCTATATGGACCTTTGTTGCCAGAGTGATGTCTCTGCTGTTTTCCTAGTAGCTACATTTGAAAGTAAAAAGGAACAGGTGAAATTAGTTTTAATAATATATTCTATTTCACCCAGTATGTTCAAGATATTTCAGTATCTAATAATTAGTAAAAAAAAATTACTAATTAGATGTGTTACATTCTTTTCCTCACATTAAATCTTTAAAATTCAGTGTATATTTTATACTCAAAGCCTGTCTGCTTGTGGATCAGCCATATGTCCGGCACTCAATAGCTATACGTGGCCGGAAGCTGCTGTGTGGGATAGTATAGCTACAGATACTCCTCTTAGGGTAACCAGAGCCTGAAAATAATAATGATGATGAGATGATGAAGTACTTTTCATGGCCTGTGTTCTGTTCTAAGAGTTGTGTATTCACTGATTTCATACTCACAAGAAACCGGAAGTAGATTCTCTTATTCTCAATTGACAGAAGAGGAAGTTGAGGTTGAGAGAGGGGAAGGGACTTGCCCAAAGTCACCCAGCTTGAAGAGACCATTTGCACGCCAGTGAGAACAGCTGGGTGCTGACGTTTAAAACTGGGGAGTGATCAGAGTCTCCATGTTCCAGCCGTGCTGGGCTTCCTTTCATAAGTCGTGTGACTGCTCTGTGCCAGTGATGTAATTTAGAATCCAGTGGGGAACTCAAGACGAGAACTAGCAGACCGCAAGCAAAATAATTGCAAACTGCGGCCAGCTTTGAGGAAGACAAACAGTTGGAGCCTGAGGGAGAGAACATGTATGTGGTATGGACGTAGGCGTATATTTTAGACTGAGTGGTCGAAGAAGGTGAGCGCTCCCTCTCTGTGACCTACGGGGGGAGCTGAAGGGTACTCTAGTTAGCGCTTCAGACCTTCATGTCCCCAACCCACTGTTCCTGCAGGCTCAGCTCCAGTCCTGGTATACAGTAAGAGTGCAATAAATGCTTATGGCTTAAAGGCATAACTTCCTTTGTTAATCAAGGAATGGCCATCCCCCAAGTCAGAACTCTGTCCTCCTGCCAACAGATCAATTTTAGTTGCAGGTTTTTTGTTCATTATTGTTTTAACGTGGCTCTGAAAGTAAGACATGCTCATCATAAAATACATCCAATCATCATAGAAACCCAAAAACCAGAAAGTAGAAGTCCCTTATCATTTTGCTTCACAAACCAACCATCAAAAACCAGGGGCAACACGTGTATGTGTATGCCTATGGCTGATTCATACTGATGTATGGTAAAAACCATCACAATATTGCAAAGTAATTATCCTCCAATTAAAATAATTAAATACATTACAAAACAAAACCAAACCAGGGGCAGTTTTGTTCATACTCTCTTCCTCCCTTAGTCCTTCCCTCAGTTTTGGAATTATACTGTCCATCATATAATGTCCATTGCATTTCTACTTAATATCTGAGTTTTTTTTTCTCTCATGGCAATACAATAAATCTGTTTCGTTCTTTTTTAATCTGCCGGTGGAGCCGACTCTTTTCTTAGTCTGATGGTAAAATACACATGACGCACAGTCAGTGTAGGTATACAAAAATGTCCCCCTTTGCTCTCGCTTTTCTGTCTGGGCGAAGAATAAAGCTGAAGCAGTGTTTTGTCTACCGGAGGCTTTTTTCAAACCTGGAGAACAATGGCTGAGTCAACGGGCCAGCAGCAGAAATGCAGTAATCCTGTTAGCCACACTGTGCTTTGAGGCTGTCAAGGCCTCTCTCTGCCTTTGCTTAACTGTGATCCCCCAATTCTCTATTCGAAGCCTTTCCCTCAGTACCTGTTATTACTTCCTCTCCTGCATCCTGGCTTCTCTGCCCGTGTCCAGTAATTAGCCTGGCCCACCTGATCTTTTTGTTTGCCCTCTCTGCAGGCAGTCTGGCCATTTGGTACCCTGGGAAAAACTGAATTCCTCTACCTTTGTCAGCACAAAATCAAAATGCCATCTGTATTTCTTCAGAAACATTTTTTTTTTTTATAAAGGAGTATCACAGAAAATCAAGCCATCTTGGCCCCAGCAAACAGTTTCACTCATTCAGTAAATAGTCCCAGCCATGGCAGGTACAACTTTTATTGCATCTTTTATCTAATGAATACAGGAGACTGACTGCCAATTGGCATTTAACATATTTATGACTCATCATAAGAATGATCTCAGGGTTCTTTTTTTTTTTTCCAAAATTATTTTTAGAGTTCTGAACACCCTGAACACTCTCAACTGTACACTGCCTGAGTCAACCAAAATCCTTATTTTCTGGTCAGTCCAGAAAAGTCAAGACAACACAGTGCTTGTAAATCTTATCACAATCTTAAGTTACACGATTTCTTTGTACATCCTATATCCTGCACGTATAGAAAGATTATTTGAGCAGTGAGGAATGAGGGTGGGGATATGTAGGAATCAGTGTTCCAAAAGAATGAAAATCATAGAGGAAAAAGTAATGAAAATAATTTGCCTAGGTAGCTTTACACACTTTTTATTTTTATTCATTTATTATTTTATTTTTTAAGCTTTATTTTTCTAATTGTGTATTTAGTTTACCCAACTGGGCTCAAACTAAACATATTGCAATTTTTCCCAATATCCTATTTTGTGACCATCTTTCCATGTCAATAACTTTTTAGCTACACGAACGTTTCAAAGTGCAAAGTGTTGCTTTGGGTGAATCTACTGTGGCTACCTTAACCAATTCCATATCACTACTCATATTCTAAGTTTTCCTATATGTTTACCTTCTAGGTTTATGATTCTTTTGTCAACTTACAAATGTCCTATTGGGTTTTAAATGCAATTGCATTGAGTTTGCAGATAAATTGGGTGAAAACCTGTACAGCTTTGGGTAATCTGGAAACACAATCTATCTTTTAATTTATTATGTTTTCTTTTATGTCTTTCAGTAAAAATTTTAATGATTTTCTTCATATTCTAGTTATATTAACATTACACATTTTTAAAAAAAAGCCCACTTTCCGGCAGGTGATTTATATTGACTGGGCGTCCCCCCCATCCCCACCCCAATAGCTCCCTGCCTCAGATCGAGCAAGAATGATCTGATCCATCTTACAGATGAGGAAAAAACCGCAAATCCAGAGAAATTGAACAGTTTGAGCAGGATGCCCCTCCCCGAGTGAGGGAAGTGATCAGGGAAGCCAGGTTTGCAGGCTGGCACAGGGCACCGTCCTCGGTGCTGTGTTGGATCCCCAGACCCTGGCTGGTGATGAAAAGTTATTGCTCCCTGCAGCTGGGGCGAAGGTGAAGGCACAGCCAGTATGACCCTTTCCACTCACATCCGCTCACTTTCTGAGAACAGGTTAAAAAGAAAGAAAAATTTTTTTTAACCCCAAAGTGCCAGTCGTCCTGACGTGACGAGAGGGACAGAGAAAGGCAAGGCCCTGAGTGCGCTGCGCTTGTCTTCCCCCCAGGCCTCCGACTCCTGCTGCAAGCAGGCGAACAACGTCTGTGCCCGAGCTGGGTTCGTGTCCAAAACCCAGAGAGGACTTCTCGCTGTTTCTAAAACAGGACCCGCCCCAGGTAAGCAGCTGCTTTGCACTGGCCTTGGCCTGAGGCTTCCTGTTCCAGGTCTGATCAGCAGGGCGCCCATTCCTTCACAGGGAGTCTCTTTCCCTGGTGGCTCAGACGGTAAAGAATCTGCCTGCGATGGAGGAGACCCAGGTTCGATCCCTGGGTCGGGAAGATCCCCTGGAGAAGGGAATGGCTACCCGCTCCAGTATTCTGGCCTGGAGAATTCCCTGGACAGAGGAGCCTGGCGGGCTGCAGCCCACGGGGTCGCAAAGAGTCGGACAAGACAGAGGGACTAACAGTTTCACATCAGGCTTTGGGGGGCGGGTGTGGGGGTGCAGGCAGGTGTTATAGGAAGAGGAGGGGACTGGCTCCCCACTCAGTGGAAGAACAGCTGGCCCCTGGGGTCTGCCTCCCTTTTAGACCCTGCACACATGCTTCGGGCCGCAGCTGGGGAGATGTCTACCTGAGCCTGAAGAGCGCCGTGCGCACACCCCAGGTGCCACTGCAGACCCTGGGGGGAAGGCAGGGCGACCCCTGGGCACTGGGCTGCAGTATTCCTTTCCTCCCAAGCCGGCCAGCAGCTTCATCATTTAACGCCAAATCACTGGGAGATCGCTCTGTGAACAGAGCGCCTGCACTGTGCTTTTTCCCCGCGGTCCTCACACATCTGTCCTCCAAGAGCCATGCTCTTAGTCCTGTGTTTCAGATGAGGCAAAGGAGGTCCAGAGAGGTGAAGCCACTGGCTCAGCGCCACACAGCTAAGAAATGGCAGGCCTCAGCCCAGAGGAGCCTCTGACCCCCGTCCTCCCAAGGCGGTTTCTGACCCTGGGATTCGGGAACACACAGGGCTTGCCGGCAAACGTTTTCCCTGCTGGGTGGGGACGGGCGTTGCCCCCGTCCTGTGCCCCGCACCAGCCTTAGTGAAAAGTTTCCAGAGAGATCTGGGGACATAACAGTCCTCACTCCACGAACACGGGTTAGACTAGACCTTCCCAAATGGGTCCCAGAGACCCCGGAGGGAGCTCCGGCCCCAGAGCCCAGGGGAGGAGCCGGGAAGGAGTGCCTCTGCAGTGATGCTTCTCAGGAGCTGGGTGTGGATAAAATTGCAGCACATGTCAGATTTCAGCAAATCCAGATTAAATTTGAGAAGATCAGTCTGAGGCTGAATAACAAAACCAGCCCTAATGAGGAGGTTCAGCCCCAGCTAAAGCGCCCTGCCTTGCATCACCATGGGCAAAACCGCACCTTGTTTGTTTAGATGGGAGAACAAACCTCTGGGTTTGGGCCAGAGGTCCCACCAGTGAGCCTAGGAATGTGGGCAGCCCCTGCCTCTGGGGCCCCTTGAAACAGCAGGCAGGGGAGAGGTGGGCACTAGCATCTGTTAAGCTCCTATTGTGTGCCACAAGCTTTCAAAGCCCCGGGGATCGTTGCCTGGTGCCTGTGTGCCCAAAGAGTGGGGGTTATTATTTTTATCATATTGACCTTTCCATGTGGCACTAGTGGTAAAAGAACCTGCCTGCCAATGTGGGACAGGTAAGAGATGCGGGTTCGATCCCTGCGTTGGGAAGATCCCCTGGAGAAGGGAATGGCAACCCACTCCAGTATTCTCGCCTGGAGAATCCCATGGACAGAGGAGCCGGCAGGCTACAGTCTATAGGGTCATAAAGCGTCAGACATGACTGAAGTGACTTAGCCCGCATTATTATTAGAGCAGCCCTACTTAACACGCGAAAATGATATTCAGAGAGCAGGTGACTAACACAGGGTTCCACACCTGGGTTTGAATCCAGGCCCTTTATCCAGTTCTGAGGCCTGCTTCCTTAAAGGCTCTCCCGGTGTCCCCCAGTTTGCCAGGGGCCAGAGCCTGGGGAATCGGCTCCTCTGAGAGAAGCAATCTGCCTAGACCTCTTGGGAAAATGTGGTTTCGGCTTCTCCCGGGGTGGGAAGAAACCAGATATGGAACTGTGACTGGAATTCCCTCTGTGTTGCAGCTGTTCTGAGTGCCTGGCCCCCAGGGGCTGAGGACCCAGTCTGGTCTGCCTTCAGTTCTGAGTAGAATGCCCAGCTTTACACGTTGGTTGATGGGATTTTCTAAAGTCTGCAGGCGCCAAGCACAAGGCCAGGCACTTCTCCAACATCCTCCTCTCTTGTTGATGATGATGTTCAGCTGCTAAGTCATGTCTGACTCTTTGCAACCCCATGGACTACAGCACCCCAGGCTCCCCTGTCCTACACTATCTTCTGGAGTTTGCTCAAAATCATGTCCATTGAGTCAGTGATGCTATCTAACTATATCTCGTGTCCTGCAGCCACCTTCTCCTCCTGCCTTCAATCTTTCCCACCTTCAGGGTGTTTTCCAATGAGTCAGCTCTTTGCATCAGGTGACCAAAGTACTGGAGTTTCAGCTGCAGCATCAGTCCTTCCAAAGAATATTCAGAGTTGATTTCCTTTAGAATTGACTGGTTTGATCTCTTTGCTGTCCAAGGGACTCTCAAGAGTCTTCTCCAACACCAGAATTGGAAAGCATCAGTTATTCGGCACTCAGTCTTCTTTATGGTCCAACTCTCACATCCATACATGACTGCTGGGAAAACCATAGCTTTGATTAGGTGAACCTTTTTTGGCAAAGTGATGTCTCTGCTTTTTAATATGCTGTCAAGGTTTGTCATAGCTTTCCTTCCAAGGAGCAAGTGTCTTTTAATTTAATGGCTGCAGTCACCATCCACAATACTTTTGGAGCCCAAGAAAATAAAATCTGTCCCTGCTTCCACTTTTTCCCCTTCTGTTTGCCATGAAGTGATGGGACCAGATGCCATGATCTTAGTTTTTTGAATGCTGAGCTTCAAGCCAGCATTTTCACTCTCCTCTTTCACCCTCACCAAGAGGCTCTTTACTTCCTCTTCACTTTCTGCCATAAAGTGGTGTCATCTGCATATCTGATGTTATTGATATTTCTCCCAGCAGTCTTGATTCCAGCTTCTGATGCATCCAGCCCAGCATTTCGCATGATGTACTCTGCATAGAAGTTAAATAAGCAGGTGACAATATACAGCCTTGTCATGCTCCTTTCCCAATTTTGAACCAGTCAGTTGTTTCATGTCCGATTGCTTCTAATTGTTGCTTCTTGGCTCACATATAGGTTTCTCAGGAGACAGGTATAGTGGTTTGGTATTCCCATTTCTCTAAGAATTTTCCACAGTTTGTTGTGATCCACACAGTCAAAGGATTTAGTGTAGTCAATGAAAAAGTAGATGTTTTCTGGAATTCCCTTGCTTTCTTTATGATCCAACAAATGTTGCAATTTGATCTCTGGTTTCTCTGTCTTTTCTAAACCTACATCTGGAAGTTCTCAGTTCACCAACTGCTGAGGCCTAGCTTGAAAAAATTTGAGCATGACCTTACTGGCATGTGAAAGAACACAACTGTATAGTAGTTTGAACATTCTCTGGTAACGCCCTTCTTTGGGACTGAAATGAAAACTGACCTTTTCCAGGTCTCCTCTCTATTCCTCTTTTTAAAAAAAAGTTATAAGAACATGAGGAAATACTTCTATCTTAAAGTGTCACTTGAAAAAAAAATGGGGGTGGACTTCCCTGGTGATGCAGTGGATAAGAATCTGCCTGCCAATGCAGGGAACTAAGAAACACAGGTCCAGTCCCTGGCCTGGGGAGATTCCACATGTGATGGAGCAACTAAAGCCCACGTGGCGAAACAACTGAAGCCCACAAATCTAGAGCCTGTGCTCTGCAACCAGGAAGCCACCGAAATGAGATGCCCGGGCACTGCAGCAGGGAGTAGGTCCGCTCGCTGCAACCAGAGAAAGCCTGAGAGCAGCAATGAAGAGCTAGAGCAACCAAAAATAAATAATAAATAAATAAACTATAAAAAATAAATAAAAGTCAAAGGAATACCAATTAAAGCAGCAGTAAGATACTGTTCATGTAACAAAAAATAAAGAATAGCTTACCAAAAAAAAAAAAGGGTGGGTGACACAATTTAACCCGCACTGTGGGCCCAGCTCCATGAGACAGCGTCTAGTGCCCGAGAGAAGGACCAGGAGTAACTACAGCAGGGTATTCACCTGGTTTTTTCTGGGCTGTGGGAGCATAAATGCCTTTCCTGCTTGCTTCTGCTTCTTAACATTTTATAATCAAGCATTGCTTTAAATTTTCTTTTTTCTGGTAAGGGTAATAAAAATAAAAAAAAATAAATATATGTGTAAATGAAACAGGAAGATAATTTGAGAGATATATTGTTCTATTGTTCAGTTGCTGCATCGTGTCTGACTCTCTGAGACCCTGGACTGGAGCACACCAGGCTCCTCTGTCCTCTACTATTTCCCGGAGTTTGCTCAAATTTATGTCCATTGTGTCTGTGATGCTATCTAACCGTCTCATATACCAGTATTATAAATGCTGCTAACTGGACATCTGTTTTTTTTTTTATTTAAGGGTATATTGGGACTATCGTTTCATGTTATTAAAAACCCTCCTGTGGCTGATTCATGTTGATGTATGGCAGACACCAACACAATCTTGTAAAGCAATCATCCCCCAATTTAAAAAAATAAAAGTTGTCCTAGAACATCTTTTGTTAATGCATGTGTGCTAAGTCACTTCAGTTGTGTCTGACTCTTAGTGACCCTATGGACCATTGCCCACCAGGCTCCTCTGTCCATGGGATTATCCAGGCTAGAACACTGGAGTGGATTTCCATGCCCTCCTGCAAGGGATCTTCCCGACCCAGGGATGGAACCCAGGTCTCTTAGTCTCCTGCATCGGCAGGTGAGTTCTTTACCACTAGTGCCACCTGGCAAGCCCAAACGGTTGTGTAGTATTCCATTATCCAGTGGTACCATAACTTAAGGGAAAAAATGCTCCCTTGTTGAAGATTTAGGTTGTTTTAAACTGATTACTCATATAAATAGAGTGGGAGCAAACATCCTTATAGCTCACACCTGTGTACAATTGAGATTATTTCCTTAGATAAATTGCCTAACATGAAACTGTTAAGTCGAAAGGTATGTAAAATATTTAAGGTTTTTGATATTTGCGACCAAATTGCCCTTCAGCACAGAGATAATCTATCCACCTGCTTCCATGAAGACTCTTCTTCCCTTCACTATTCCATCACTAATAGTGATTGCCATCACCATTCCCATGTAAGTAAAATCTTGCCAATAGATCCCTTATTGTTGTTTTCAGTGATCTTGCGATGGAAAAGTTGATTTCATTTAAAACAAATTTAGCTTTAGGATGTTTAGAAAGTTTCAAATATTTTTTGCATGCTCAATGTCACCATTAATGTAGTTTCCCCCACTTTTCTGGGCTTCCAACTATTTTTAGTTCATGTGTATCCAATTGTACGTTGGTGTCACAGTACACACAGTATAGACTGTTAGGCTTTATTTTACTTGTTTTCTCTCCCCTTGATTTTCAAGAACACTGCCATGGGCCTCACAGTGGTTGCATTTACCACCCGCAGGGCTGATATTCCACCAGAGTGGGCTGTTTTCCCATAACCGTGCCCTTGTACTTGGACCTTTAGGGTTGACACCATTTCTCACAATGTAGCTATTGCTGTGGTGTATATCTTTAGGCTTAGAGCTTTTCCATCATGTTGAATAATTTTCTTAATTTCCAAGTAATGGGAAACCAGGGTCAAAGTGTGCAGCATCTTGGAGGACTTCCCTGGTGGTCCAGTAGTTAAGAATCTGGTCTGTAATGCAGGGGACACAGGTTCGATCCCTGATTGGGGAACTAAGATCCCATGTGCTGCAAGGCAAGTATGCCTGAGCCCACAACTGCTGAACCTGCACACCACAACTGAAACATCCACGTGGCGCCACTGAAGACCCCACAGGATGCAACTAGGACCCGACACAAATAAGTGTATACACATATTGTTATATCAAAATATATGTATTTAAAGTGTGCAGCATCTTGAAGGCCTTTGCCTAGCAGTGCTGCTTTGCACCCCGAAATGCCTGCACCCACTTACAGGGCTGCCAGCTCTTTGGGCTTCCTGGTGGCTCAGTGGTAAAGAAGCTGCCTGCAACTGCAGGGGACGCAGGGGACAGGTTCGATCCCTGGGTCGGGAAGATCCCCTGGAGAAGGGGATGGCAACCCACTCCAGTATTCTTGCTTGCAGAATCCACGGGACAGAGGACCCTGGTAGGCTATAATCCATGGGGCCGCAAAGAGTCGGACACAACTAAGTAACTCATCCACCAGCTCTTTAGGGGTGAGACTGCTCCCTCTTTACCTCAGCCCAGATCATTCTCTTCTTCCTTAGAGCTTTGTGCACAACGTACTTTTATTCTGACACAGTTTCTTGAGACACAGGGTATGATAGGAAAGAATGGACATTGAAGGCAGGTGGTTCTGGGTCCACATAGTAGGTGCTCAATAAATGTTTGTTAATTACATAATTAAGAATTATTGGGCTTCCTAGGTGGCTCGGTGGTAAAGAATCTGCCTGCAGTGCTGGAGACACGAGTTCAATCCCTCGGTTGGGAAGAACCCCTGGAGAAGGAAGTGGCAACCCACTCAAGTATTCTTGCCTGGAAAATTCGGTGGACAGAAGAGCCTGGCAGGCCATCATGGGGTCCCAAAAGAGTCAGATGTGACTTAGCAACTAAATAACAATAACAACAAACTGCATAATAGTTACTGAACAACTACCATGTGACAGGAGCCTAAAAGGTTCTTTTACTACCATAGCCTCCCGGCTGTTGGAAGATTTATTGTCCTTAGTTTATACAGGGAGATGCTGGGCTTAGGCCCTGGTTAGATGAATGTCTCTTGGCAAGGTACTGAATGCCTCTGAGTCTGTTTCCTCATGTTCAGATTGGATGTGCTAACACCCACCTTGCAGGGCTGCCGTGAGGATTAAATGAGTTAAGTCTATGATGCATGGACACATGTTCTCTAAATGGTAAATGTTATTTCCAGTTATTCCAGGCAGACCCTATTACTTGACCATCCTGGAGCAATACTGCCTTATAGTCATTAAATGTATTCTTAGGCATAAGGCACTGCTTTTTATTTATTTGAGAAGGGTTCTTTATTCTGTCTTAAAATTTCTTTCCTCTCAGGGCATTATGATGTGAACGAATCCCTTGTGAAGCAGTCACCGAAGATACTGATGTCTTGTTTTAAATCAAAAACCGACCGTGGATTAAAGCTGACGTCAATAGGCCCAGGACCCGGTTATTACAACCCAAATGGTCACCCCAAAGTTCAAAAAAAGGCTCTGATCCCGTGAGTCCTGATTATTCTGATCTTTCTTCTGAAAGGTGTTTCTGGGGAAGGACCCCAACATGGGGGGAAAGGGAGGGGTGTCACAGCCTGGCAGACACAGGCTGGGTAGCTCTCGTGGAGCCCTTGTTGACACAGCCTGCTGAGTGCATCGTATTTATTGAGCAACTATTGTGTGCCAGGAACTTAACATAGTCAAAGATCATGACAGCTCTATTGTAGGAATGATTGTTTCTGCTTCATAGAGAAGGAAGTCAGGCTTCAGAGAGCCTGAGGGGCTTGCCTAAGTCCACACAGCTAAAAGGAAGGTGCCTCTGGGACTCAGGCTTAGGACTGTTTGGATCGTCCAACATTCCCCACAATGCTGTACTCCCCTGGTGCTGATATTATTCTATTTTTTATAAAATCTCCACTGGGGTGGCAGGATATATGGAAGCAATGATGCTCTCACTGTCTTGTACTGATAGGTTAAAAGCCTAGACTCTAGAGTTGGTCAGACCTGCTGCATTTGAACCTCGGCTGTGCTGTTTTTGTGCTGTGTGACCATCAGCCCTGCTCTAACCCCTCTGAGCCTCCATGCCCTCCACTGTAAAGTGGGGATAATTTATCTGAATGTTGCTTTCAGACTGAAAAACAAGTATTGACATAGTAGGTGCAAATAGTGACTCAAAACCAATTTTGAACGTGAAGACAGGGATTTTTGTTACTGTTTTTAATCTCCCATACATTTAATGTTACTTCCCCCTCAGAGACTCAAAAATTCACAGGCCTTAATAGTCCTCAAAACGGGTCTAGAACCTCTAGAACTAAGACCATCAAGGTCAGTCATCCTGTCATTTCTAAGTCCTCACCCCTGCATAGCACTCTCCAGGCATCAGTGGCTGTAGGGAGGGCTGGCCAGCGGGGCTGGGACTAAGGCTGTAGCACCTGGGACCCTCCTGGGAGGTCAGGCAGCTGGTGGGGCCCACAGCCACAGGGGGTCAGAGAGGGTGGGCAGCCCAGGAACACTTGCAATACTGGGTCTGCTCAGACCATCAGCCCGGGACAAAGGGGTCGGGGGTCAGGGGTCAGGGAGAGGAGCAAGGCGTGAGCCTGCTGTGTCCAACCCAGGACCTGGAGCCGGAACTCAGACCTCAGATGGGGTCCACCAGCTAAGTCCCTGATGCCCAAAGGATCTGGGGTTCTGTATGTTGACACTCTCCACAGGCTGCAGGGCTTGGGACCGGGAAAGGAAAGTCTCCAGAAACAGGCGCTTTCCAAATCAGGGGCTCCCTGCCTCCGGGTTGGCTTGGGCTACGCTGCCCCTCAATGGAGTGGGAGAGAAGGTGGGTTTCAGGGTTAGCAGACCTGAGTGGGAATCACAGCTCCATCTCTGGCAGGAACTCCTCCTCCCTGCGCCTCCATGTTTCCATGTAATTAAGTGCAGATAAGAACCTGTGTTATTAAGTGCAGATGAGAGCCAGGGCTCCCCTGGTAGCTCAGCTGGTAAAGAATCTGCCTGCAATGCAGGAGACCCCAGTTCGATACCTGGGTTGGGAAGATCCCCAGTGGGATGGGCATGGCAACCCACTCCAATATTCTTGCCTGGAGAATCCCCATGGACAGAGGAGCCTGGAGGGCTGCAGTCCGTGGGGTTGCAAAGAGTGGGATAGGCTACCCACTCCAGTATTCTTGGGTTTTCCTCGTGGCTCAGTCAGTAAGGAATCCGCCTGCAATGCGGGAGACCTGGGTTCAATCCCTGGGTTGGGAAGATGCCTAGAGGAGAACATGGCAACCCACTCCAATATTCTGGCTTGGAGAATCCCCATGGACAGAGGAGCCCGGCAGGCTACAGTCCATGGGGTCGCAAAGAGTCAGACACAACTGAATGACTAAGCGCAAGAACCTGTGAGGATTAGATAAGAAAGGGCTTGAAAATAGTTCACTCTTCTTATTACAGCAGCTATTCTTCTATATCCTAGAGAAGATTTGTGAGGGTAGAGGAGCCGGCTGTTTTATGGCGTGGCAGCTCAAGCCCCCATCCCAACTCTGGAAGCTTCTTCAGGGAAACAGTGAGAGGAGAGGGGAGAGTACTGCGTGTTCAACTGTCTTCTGATCTGTGTCATTTGACCTTCGTTCGAGTTTGGACGAGCGGTTTGAAACAGTCTCATTTTATGGCATTTGCCTCTGTCGGTCAGCAGGTCCTAGCCATTTCTGGTGCTGAGCTGAAGGCTGTGGGGGGCTCAGGTGAACGGAACACCCTCCATTGCTTTAGCCAGGCTTTCCAGGAACAACTCCAGAGCAGGGCAGAGGAGTGTGCCCCAAAGTGCTGGGTGGTGTGCGCCCCGAGTTTGCATGGCCACACACATCCTCAAGGGCCATCTTTCCAACAGGATCAGTGCAGTATTGCCGGCATGTCTGCGGGTGGGTCTGGGGCCCATTGGCTCTCCATGATGCGTCCCGGAGGAATGATCCTTGCTTAATAAACCTAGGAATCACTGCACACCATCCTTCTGCCCCTGGCAGCATCACAATACACATGAACTTATTAACGGCTCTGAGAAGGTCTGATAAGTTGTTCAAGGCCCTGACAGGTCCCACAGTAAAGGGACACGTCAAGCCCAGTGTCTCTTAAACATGGGTTCACCCTGGTGAGTGGATGGCACCCCAGTTTCCACGGCAGGCCCTGGGGTCGGGGGCTGCCCTCAGTGCCTCCCTGGGCCTCTGTTTCCCCGTGCGTGATTGTGCGTGAAATGAGGGGAAATCTTTCCACTTCCGACACTCCCTGACCCCAGTTTTGCTCACTGTGTCTGTCCCTCAGGACAGCAGTTGGGGGCAGTGAACATGGAGCCAGCCTGGACCCGCAGAGGCGGGTCCGGGATATGCTTTTGAGCTGACATGGAAAGGAATGAAATCGAGAAATCTGTAATTTCATTTTTTTAAAGCAAAGAGATAAAACTAAAGCGTGCTGTTGGTTATTCCAAAATAGCATCCATCTGTTGATGGCAGATGAGGGAGAAAGGGATATAATATAAAGAAAAGATGCAGCCGGATATGGTTGTATTTCAGGAGCATCCAAACGCCAGTCTCTCACATTTTAGGAGTATCCAAACTCCGGCCTCTCGCGTTCAAATTCAGTTTCCTTTCCTGCGACCCTGGGGGGAAGCGGAGGAAGTACCTGGCCTGGCCTGGGGTTGCCAGGCCCCCGAGAAGGTCTGCATTGTTTCCTCCCCATCAACATTCTGAGGCTTTGCTGCATCTAGCCTCCTCATGCTCAGGTCTCTGGGGCTGTGTGGGGCAGTGGCAGAGAATCTGAGCATCGTCAGCACATTTCTGTTTTGGAAGCCCGGGCGTCACGTGCATGTGACAGGACGTGGGGGGCCTGGCTTTATTTCTCTTGCTGCAACGTGCAGGGTTCCCTGTTCTCCGGTGGGGTTCCAGTTTGCAAAAATGGTATTTTTGGCTCTGCTCTCTTCAGGACGCAGAAAGGACAGGGGAGATGGTCATTCTCGCAGGAGTGGCTGAGCCCAGGTCACCGACCCCTGCTGGCCTCCTGAACTGAGAATGGGCTGAAGAGGCTGTGGCATCGTGGGCATAAGCGCAGGCAGGGGCTCAGCCCCCTGAGACGCCTGTCTTCCCCGCTCACCAGCTCCTGGGAGGCGAGGGACAGGGTTGGGGGTCACTTTACTCCCTGGGAATTCAAATTCATCCTCTGGGAAGTGGCGCAAGAACACTTTATAATTTGAAAAGACCCTGATGCTGGGAAAATTGAGGGCGGGAGAAGGGGGACAACAGAGGAAGAGATGGTTGGATGGCATCACCGACTCAATGGACATGAGTTTGGGTAAACTCCAGGAGTGGGTGATGGACAGGGAGGCCTGGTGTGCTGTGGTCCATGGGGTTGCGAAGGGGTCGGACAGGACTGAGAAACTGAACTGAACTGACACTTTATAATGGGCTTGTGCAGGCACGCTACATCACTTCAGTCGTGTCTGACTCTTTGTGACCCTATGGACTGGAGCCCACCAGGCTCCTCTGTCCATCCTCGCAGTTCATCAGTTCTGGCACACTAGCTTTCTATGTGTGTGGTTTGTATTTTTATTGAAATGTGTGAGCGAGTGAGTCCCCTACACTCACCCAACGTTTCTCTAGTGGCCCTGCAGGGCAGATGCTATGCCGGGGCTAGAGGGGTGTTGGTGTGGTCATTTCTGGGCTCCACAGCTGCAGAACACATCACCAAGCATCTCTTTGCTGTGGCCACGTTGCTGACTCAAAAGCTAAGAGGATTTTGCAGCTCCCAGGGGTCTTTGGAGGAGGGGCATCAGCTAGGGCTTCATTTCTTCAGATCTTCAGCATCTGTCACAGTGATGACTCAAGGGCTCAGGGTGAGTCAGGGTGAGGGCTTTTTGGAGATCAAAATAGTTCCTCCTAGGTGCTGCCTTCCAACTCACGCCAGCAAGGAGGTGAAACACCCACTGACATCTTTCTAACCCTTGATCTGCTTCCTGGAGTTTTTAAGCCACTGGTTTTGCTCAGACATGCTGTCCTGTCACAGCCAGAGCCGAAGAATCAAGCCCCGTTGGCCCCGCTCCAATTTGGGTAATTACATTGGACCCACCTAAAGTTCCCCTGGGATTTTCAATTAGATATGGGATGCTTCTTCCCAAGTTGCTGTAATCTGTCACCCGCTACCCTGTTAAACAGATACCACATTCCACCCTAGAGGCAATCGGCTGCCCTTTAATGATGAGAAAAAATTGCCCCTTTATTCCTCCCGACCCTGGGAATCCCTGAGGCAGAGTGAATCTGTGCCTGGGAGTGTCCTAAGGGTCTCCGATGCCCTCCCCCGGTGACCTGCTGAGTCGTCCTGGAGACATTCATTATTCTTGGGGTGATTTGCAAATAGCTCACATTGGAAGCTGCAAACACAGCTTAATCCAGTTGTGGCCAACTCAGAGCCTTTGATAGATGTTTTCTTTCCACCAGGGCAGAACCAGATTGGCTTTTATAACTGGGTGATGAGG